GTAACTATCACCTCGATCAAGCCTTCCGCGTCGATGATATCGCTTGTGAGCCCTGACAAGGGAGTTCTTACTCTGCGTAGGAGTTCCTTCTTCAGCCTCAGCTCTTCAAACGTCTCGACATACATGATGTTGACAGAGCTTCTGTTGTCAACATAAGAACAATATCACGACATCATTCATCTCGCACTTGACGACCTGAGCATCTCTATGCGGGGAAGGGATTTTTGGTGCGTCCTTGGGAGCTGCTGACATTGCCTACGTAGGCCGAGTGCACCCATTTCATCTGCTCCCCAGTGGCATTGTAGATCATCTGGTTCTCCTCCACCCTCTTTTGTTTGAGTAGAACCTCTCCTTCTTCATTGCTTGAAAGGACAATATCCTTCCTCTTCTGCGCTGCCTCTGCCGCCTTTCTTACCACGGTTGTCTGCTGGTTTTTTCCCATCGTCCTTTCGCCAAGTATTCCTCTTCTTGACGAATTGGCTCAGGTGCCCTACCCGGATTAAGTTCTCGATCTCCCACTTGAGAACCTTATAGTCGTCCATGTCGTGGTTGGCCGCTTTATGAAATTTGCACTAGGGGTTGTTGGGTCATGCTACACCAGACCCTGGTACTTAGCATAATCCAGGATTGTGCTATCAGAGTGCATCAAAGGTAATCACTCTACATGCTTAATGCGTTAAAAAAATATAAACAAATATTACATTATGATAAAGTTATTAGTGTTCAAAAAATAAAGTGCATTGTAATTACTCCTCATTAGATATGACAAAATACTCATTAAGTATAATAAAGCTACAATGAAAAAAACATTACTTTTTCCATCCCATTTTATATTGCCCGTTTTGACTTTGGAACATATTTAAGAAAAGGAAAAAATGATGTTGACTTTACAAAAACGCTTACTTTTTTTATAGGGGTGATGATAAATGAGAAGATAAGGTGAAAAGGATTGACTTAGTTTAGAGATAGTTTAAGTTATTTACACTTTTAAAAAATTTATTATTATAAAAAACAAGCAATTTGTTTTGGAACGGACAAAAAAAGAAAACAAACAATTTAAAATGAGACGTGGGGAGAATAATTTATTAGTGAATAATTTTATAATTGTAAACTATGATTCAAATACTAAAAAATAGGGAGAAGCTTAATTAATAAGGTGCTCATTATGTTAAAATAAATTAAACTGAATATACGAAGTATTATGAAAGCAAGGGCAACTTTCAAAATAGCCATAATGATATTCTAGATGCATCAAAATGATTCTCACACTAGATGAACTTTTATCATAGCCAATTCTTGTCTACGAGAGAGAAATAGTTATTGAGTTTAGGAATACATAAAATTTTTCAATTCCATACTTCATCTGGTATGGTAAAACCCTTATCCATTTGTACCCTAAAACAAACACGTACATCATCCCTCCCAATTTAAATTACATATTTTGGTTTACAATGTGTCTAAAATTATTTTTAAATCATTATATACGAAAAATGGTGTAGAATTAGAAACCAAAAATTACATATTTGAAAACTACATCAAAAGATAAACAAAATTAGTGATGACAATATGACATAACTATATTATCATATCAAATGATTAATGAAAATAAGAAAAAAATGAATAAAATGTTATTAAGTAAATAATAAGCATGCAATTTAATTAGAGATGAAGGGTATAACATTGAACAAAAAATAGCACATGTTCCCAATAAATTACACCACAAAGAAATTTTCGTAGCATGAATGCCAGCGTTAGTGTAAAGAGATTTTTCTTGCAATAAATAGCCCAAACGTCAAGGAACTCCTTGAGAATTGAGATTTCCCCTTATCCTCCCCGATCACCATAATCCTTGGGCATCATTTTCCAATTTAAAAGTTTCTCAATACGGGCAAATCAAAAGCGTCAACATGTGCAAATGCACTTTTGGAAATCGAATACTCAAACAGATCTAAATGCAATTTAGGAAATCTTCAACACTCTTGTTCCAACCTACGTTAATTTTTTACTCCCTCCGTCTCATAAAGTGTTACCCATTTTGACTAAAGTTGAAATTAAGGGATGGATAATTTTGTGTTGACTTTCCAAAAATACCCTTGATGTGATGGGTAAAGTAGGATGTGATGTTAGATTATTAGGAAAAAGGTATGATGTGATAGGTAGGGTTTGAAAAAGTAAGGGGTAAAAGTGGTTTTTTAATAGAAATGTGTAAGAAATTGTGGGACACAATTTTTTTGAAACGTATAAATTTTTGTGGAACAGAGGGAGTATATGGACGCTTGCCCCTTTTGGAACTCATGATTCAATTTTATAGGAGTAGCAAGCATACCTATGTGAAGAATACCGTAGCATCCTCTCCAAAACTACTAAGAGTCCATTTGGTATACGGAATTGATGAAATTGGAATTGAATTGGAATTGAAATTCCATGAGATTCATTTCCATAGAATTGAATTCACCAATTCTCATTCATTTTTTGCACTATCAATTCCAAATCCACATAATTTCTGTGCTACCAAACACCAGAATTGGAATTGAAGTCTTCAATTCCAATTCCATTGTTTGAATTTCGTGTACCAAACGGAGCCTAAAAGTACATTAATATTAAAAAAAATGTATTAAATTATTATCATAGCACAAGATTGAACCAAAAGTCAATTTTTGCTTCAAAACATTTGGTATGGTTGGAAGTTGAACTCGTCCAAATCAGTAACCGAGAGAAGGAAAACACGGTGGAAACAATACATTTTTCATTTGTAAATTATTCAAAAATGACAAACCTAATTAAAAGGCAAATACTGTGTGTGCACGAGAGAGAGAGAGAGAGAGACTTTAAGAATGAGACAATCAAGCAGCCAATCCCCCAGATAACAAAGCTTTAGGGAAAACCTTAGTTCGAGTTACAAAAAGGTTTCTAGCTTAGCAGGGATACACCTGGTGCTTTTAGGGAGGGTAGAGGCATAGGAAGTCCTTTATAGAAAAGCTTAGTTAGGGAAAAGGAAATGTAGAGAACATAAAGATTAATTTGATGTAATTATCTTGGAAAGAACAGAAAATGAAGAGGATACCTGGTGATGGAATCTCCGTCAACATCTCGATCAATGCAGGAAGATTGAGATCTCTTCCGTTGGAAAAGGGCACGATAAGCACGTGAGAGGGAAAAGAGGGGTTTATAATTAATATATGGTGTAAGATCTGATCTAGCCTAAGCATTTCCCAAAAAAAACATTGAAGTATAGGAGTAGTTCTCTTTACATCATTTACTACGTTTCAAAGCTGCAAAAACTATGTGCCCATTTCAATGCTTCTTTCTATTTCAATGCAAGACACTAATAATATGATGATGATGATAACAATAATAATATACTTACGTTACCAATGACCAGTCACTCCTCCCATGTGTTTTTTCATGGCTCGGTCCCTTCTGTAGTGGTTTTTTCCCCGTCCACTGCCCTGCCCTCCTCTGCCTCTAGAGTCCCCTCCTTGTCCTCCTCTGAGAGCCCCTTCTTTCATTCTATTGTCACCATTTTCCTCCACATTAGTGACTATTGGCTTTTGAGAAGCACCACTTGAAGAAATATATCCTCGTCCGAACCCACGCCCTGACTGCTTCCCTTGACCCTCTCCTCTAACTTGCTCAGGAACAAACTCCGCAGTCATCATCCTTCTGACAGCACCCATTGGAAGATTACCACCCCGTCCAAGTCCGTGTATAACCTCTTTCTGTGCTTGATTAACCAAAGAAGCTTCATCAGAATTACTCACGGCAATAGAACCCTCAACTTTATAACTGTAGTTTTTGCCGTCTTTAACATAGAATTGTGGCTTTTTACTCAAACTCCACGTGTAGTTCAATGCATTATTATCAACTCCTGTAGACTTCCCTCCCCTATCCAAGTTCAACTTGTTGTCCAATGTCTCTGTTTCCTCCAAAGCAGACCCAGAAATACTCACACCTAAATCATCAAAAGAGTCATCATACTCGTCTTCATACTCTTCAAACTGTGACGCAAGTGCAACTGTCCTTGCCACATCAGCTTGACTTCTAGAATTGAGGATCAAAGGGTCAGGAAGGTCAGTTCCAGTCTTCCTCACATACCTCCCAACAACAGAAGATGTGGAGGAAGAATTTGATGAATTCCCAGTTTGAATACTTTTTCTGGGGGGGACTTGTTCAGATGATTCCAACAGTTTCCCTTTACCCTTGTCATTTGTGGATGTCAATGAAATAGAAAGAGAAGACTTGGGCTTTGGTGTTTTCTCCAATAAAATGTCTAAAGACTGCAAATCTTTGTGAAGGGTGCCCTCTAAAATCCTCTGTATAACCTCTTCAGGATCGTGATTATAAACTTCAAGACAGGCAGCCAGGAAACCCTTTCCATATTCCGGGAACAGATCTCTAATTTGACTGATTTTTGATTCAATTATTGCAGTGTCTTCATTGACCTGCGGTGTGCCATTCTTCCCCATAGATGGAATGTCTGGTGCATTAATATTGTCTGGCAATGAGTTGGAAAGTATCCCGGCGACAAACTGATATTGATCATCATCGATAGAGAACCACCCTGCATATAAAAAGTTTGTTATCATCAGCATTCAGCAAGAGCCATATGTGTGATTAGCCAGGACAATTCCAAAAAAATATGTTGGTGACAAAGGGAAGTGTGGGTGGGGGGGGACTTGGTTCAGTTTTAATGGAACCTCGCCAAACCAAACTGAATTAACCTGAACACAAGAATGAATCCTATGCAATTTAGTTTTGGTTTGGTAACGTTTTTCACAAACCATACTAAACCAACTCTGCCAACTCAACCGACCTCTATTCTTTTCTACACCAAATCTTCCCAGTTGCTACTTGTCAGTTGTCACTACTTGTCAGGGGCATAACTTTTTCCCTAATTTATTTCTTTTATTTTATTTTAATTTATTTTCTATTTCAACTTCCCAGTTTAACTTTTCAATATAATTTAAATTTTATTTAACTTTCAAAGTATTTATTTATTTAATTTTTCCATGTTATTATTAAAAAGATTGTGTTTGTATAGTGATATACGTAACATGTTGTGTCGGAGATACAAGTGGTTTTAATCCAAATTTTAAACAACTTCCTACAGATGATCCTCAATTACATTCATCGATGTAATGCATTTCGCATTTTTTCCCTATCATGCACTATTCGACATCATGGTTGTGAAGTTGTTGAGTTGTTGGGTTTAAGTTTCTTGGAGTTTAATTGATGTTTTTGTATCTTATTTGTTATGTTTTATTTTATTTCTTAAAGTTTTACTTATGTTTTTGTATGTTAACCCAAAACATCTTGAACTTACGCCTTACACACTAACAACGAAATGCCTCAAACCTGCCCTATGTCATTTCAAACATTGAACCAAACTAAAAAGAAGCACATTTAAAGCCCAAATAAAAATCTAACAAATTGAAAGCAAAACAAAACCAAAAATGAAACAACAAACCAAAAAAAGTTTGGTTTTAATTTAGAAATCATATCCCCACTCCACTCAGAACCAAATTGAACCCAACTCAGGAAAAGAACACAAACCCATTTGATCAGCCCAAAGGGTAGCCTAGTGCTTAGGGGTGAATATGCTGGCCTAGGTACAGGTTTTAAAAATACAGCATGTATTTGCAGAATGATGAAGAAATGTATGCAATAAATGAGGCAAACGATAAAAACCAGTTATGAATAATAATTACATAATACAGTACCTGCATTTCTTAACAGTTGAATCTTAGACATTATTTTGTGATTTTCTTCAATTCTTTGAAGAAATGTTCCTTTACTATGTCTCTCTAGAGACTGCAAATATACTGCATTGATATCCCTGATTATCTGTAAAAGAATGTCTGTCCGTATGATAGGATCTTCCACATTTGAAGGAAACATTTTAATGCCTACATGAATGGGGTAGCTTCCATTGAAAGCTTCATCACTCAGATAGCACAAGTATAGTAGTTTCCAGCCAAAACTTACTATCCTTGTTGACAACATTTTCAAACTGAGATAAACGTTGCAATGCATACTATTGGATACATCTGAGGAGCCATTATCTTTAGATGCAAATATTATTCGGAAACCTTGCTGTAGGGATGGTAGCAGGGAATCATGTAGTCTTGCAAGGGTAGTGAGCATCTCCTCATTCCCATGACTGCATATAAATGTATGTCGGAACATAAAAGCACAAGAATCAGATTAAATCAGTAGTAAATACATTCTTTTCTAATAGACTAAAAAGGAGACATCTTACATGGAAAACAATACAGAAGGGAGAAAACTAGATAAGTACCTTATTTCAACAGGGCTAGAGAAAGAAACAGCAGACTGGTTGTAAGCACTAACAAATGCATCCATGGATACAATAGCATCATTTATGAAGTCCATTACCTGCAGGCAAGGAAGCTTAGTGTGCCATTTTGATTTACTCCACTATTTACGCGAAGCTAAAACACTGCAAAATGACTCTTTTAGCACCATTGCCAATGGATGCTAACAGGAAATAAGTTCAAGTTACCTCTAAATAGTCCGTAAGAAGCTGTGTGGGCCCAAGATCCTGACAGCCCACAGATGAAAATAAAACCTGCAGATGACCCAAAAAAAAGGTCAATACAGTTCTGCCATCCTGTAGATAAGATCAGATAGAGATTTAGGGATTAAAAACAATTTTGCTAGAAGTTCTAGAGTTTGTTTTATTTTATACTCCCTCTATCCTTCATAGATCTTCTGATTAAGCGTTACGAGGCTTGACCGACTTTATTTTCAATTCAATTTATTTAATTGTAGGTGCGAAATTTAAAAACAAAATTTATATAGTAAAATGGCTTTGGCTTTTGAGCCATAGATTCAATGTTTTTGGCTTAAGAGTATGATGGAATAAAGCAAAATGGCCCTTTAAAATATCTGTGCTTCTTTTGATAGTGATAGTGAAGTGGCAGATAGTTAATGCAATTTTTGACGCTCATCATGGGTCATCTAGAAACAGCCACTATATGTCTTAAACATAGTGGTATAAGGCTACGTACATCCAACCCCCCTTACCCCGCAATGAGTGGGAGCCTTTGCGGTACTGGGGTAATGTTGTTGTTGTTGTAAGTATGAAATTTAAAAATAAAATTTATACAATAAAAAACTATATGAAAAGTTCTACGAAACAAGAGGTGACATGACTATTATTTTAAGAAATGAGTACAAAAAATAAGCAAACAAAATGAGTTAAGTTTGACCCTGTGAATGAATAGTGAATGGGAAGATCTATGGGGTCAAAGGGAGTATGAAATACTGAATATTATGTAGGTTGAAACATGTATCCAGGAAAAACAGCTTTAACCATATAAAACAATTTAATTTTGGACATGGTTAGTGTTGTGGATGTGGAATCAGCCTATACATATTTTGAATGAAATATCTAACCCGAATTTCACATTTTAAAGCTTGTTCTCTTCATCTGATTGGATATTAAGGTCTGATCTAGTTATATATAAAGTTATAATTGATCTGATCTAGTCTCATCAGATTGTAGTTATATCTGAAGTTGTTTCTGAACTGATCTAGTCTGATTTGGTCTAATCAGATTCCAATAAAAATAAATAATAAGTAATACGAATAAGTTGAAGAGAACAAGCTTTTAGAGGGGTTGTCTATAGAAATTGGAAATTGAGCACAAGGCTAACATTCACTAAAATATTTGTGTGTAAATTCATGCATTAGAACTAACAGTCTTCCTGGTACTATACACCTACACACAAAGCAGAGGACAGCAATAGATGGCCAGAAAAATATAGCGTGCCAGCAAAAACCCAAACTGATCATGAATGGTGAATAGTGTTTGGAATTTATACCTCCAAAGATGACCTACATCGTTGATACATAGTCTGAACAATGCTCAAGAAATGGGAAATGACTGCAGTAAGATCCTCATGGATCCATGGTTGTGCATTTATTGCATTCATGATCTGGAAAATATTAATTGAACATTTCAATGGTGAAGCAAAGAGCACTTTCATGAAACGATTGAATTATAACCAATGAGTATATATTCGTTAATAACTCAAAACATCAAGCAATGAAAAATCCAAGACCCTGCTCTTGGATCCCACAAGAGTAGGGTTTGGGGAGGGTGTGTGTACGCAGACTTAGCCCCTACTCGAAAATAGAGGTACGCAGACGTAGCCCCTACTCGAAAATAGAGAGGCAGTGAAAAACAAAGTTGATTGACAGATTTAAAGATGGAACCTCGTGTTTTGTATCTAGCTACAACTCAAGTTATGTTTACAAGAATACCTTCAGATTTGTTATTTGTCTAAAACAAGATGAATAATGTTTTGACCAATACTCAAGTTATGTTCATAGTTAACACGGTGTGGCCTTGGCGTCCCAACACCATGCTGCTCTTGCCATGGTAGATCGACTTGCCTAGTTCCACATTCCTCGCATAGGCATCCAATTTCGGGCAACTTTGCATCCTAGCGTAGCACCAGTGGACTAGACGTGTTGCATTAAAAAAAGACCATCTCTTGTATAATAAGTCGCAATCCAGCCGTGTACCCTAAAATTAAAAACCCTACCTCAGCCAGTCCTCCTCTCATCACACTCTTCTCTTTTCGCCACCAATTGAATAGGTCTCGACTCCCACTGGGCTTGTCAATCGCCCATAGCCACCGTACGTACGCTTCTCTCTTTGGTCATTGATTGCATATATGTAGTATATATCCTCAGTCCTCATTGCGTTATATATTACTCCGTAAATGCTTTTTGCTCAGTAAATAGCTTTCATGCTTTATAATTACAGTATTTTATTTCTATTGTAAAGTTCATTTTCTAATTCCCCTTCATAGTACACTGAATGTAAAAAATGTATTCATTTTTCCCCTTAGTGCTTAATTATTTTTGGAAAATGTTTTATGATTTATTTATTTCCAAATTCCAATTCAGGTTGGTATTTTTTTATTTAAATTTATCTATGTAGGCTTACTTTTCAATCCTTTTTTCTTCTAGTCAAATTTTTTCCATATTTCATTTAAACTTTGTAATTTAAAAGTGCATATTTGAATTGATTTTTTTCTTAGTTTGTTGTAATGTTGTTACATGCGTTCTTTGATATGGATGTTAAACTTTGTTTAACTTAAAATTTAAGATTTATCAACTACAGCATACAATATGATAAATTTATATTATTGTTACTAATGTATAGCATTTCTCATGTACTACTTGTTACCTAATGCCTAGGCACCTAGGTGTCATGGTGGTACACTGACAACTCCAGATGTTACCTTTGACTTATGAGCCTAATTAGGAAACTTTTGCAAGCATAAAATGAGGAACCAATTTGAGATAATATTGCAATCTAACAATGTTGACCTTGTTCATGGACATTTACAATGCTAAGCTCTATAATACAGCTTGATCAGAGCCCTTTGCATAGCATGTGAAGCAACAAAGTTCAGTAGTAAACCACAATAGCTTTATAAAATCAATTTTCTATAGTGACCTGTAACTTGCATCACCGTGCCATATCAGGTTTCTATCAGCCAAATTTGTTTAAAATTCCAGGTTACCTCCCAATATAATATACCATATAAAAGAAAATTCATTCTGATCCATCTGAATTTGACAAAAAGTTTTCAGTGCTAGAATATAATGTTGAGTAACTGGTATTGCCCGGTTATCGCATCCATAAAAGGAACACATCTACGTAATCTAGCTTAAGCATCTGTACCTTCAAACAGTGACACATCTGTACGCTCAAACAATTGGAAGCTTGTGTTTCAAACTGAAAAGCAAAGAACCTCAGCAAAAGTGTAAAAGGGTAGAGAGAGATATTTCAAACTTACCAAAATTCTTGTCAGATCTTCATTATCATGACCATATATAGCAGAAATTTCTAACAACTTTGACAAATTAAGTAATTTCTTCTGCTGCAAAAGAGCTATACGTGTAAAGAGTTATTATAGTGCACCACGACATTTAAAGCTTATGAATTCTTATACATATTCACCTTAAGGTTATATACATTAACTTCCCTACCGTATTTCTGTAGTTTCCCTAACTGAAGTTCATGAATACGATATATGTTTCCATTCTCCAAGAATGCCAGAGAAACTATGGTTCAGAATTAGAATTTCGATAAGATGTGCATTTCAATTTCAAAACTTCAAGGAACACACAGCTACAATGCCATCCCTAGTCACCATATACAACAGAAAAGATAGAATACCTGAATATTCTTCCCCACTGAAACAGTCAGCAGCCTTGGATCCAAGATCGGGATTAGAACTACAATTCAAAGGGAAGATATTCAAATAAAGATAAGATGGATAGTGTACGCCACTAAACCACTCATGCTTCTTAAAGAAAGGAGTGAAGATGAGATTGTAATTACATGCAATATAAGACCATGAAGACACGTCGGGATAGCTCAAATTCACCAACAATAACTCCAGCAACTATGCCCTTTGGTCCACGGTATGGGAAATCATACCATCTACTCCTAAACTTAAGAAAGCTTTCAAGGAAAGAGTGAAGAGATGTGTTGCTGGCCACTGAGAAGAATTCTTAGTCAGAGTAAGTTTAAAATAACATTTAAGAGGTAGCACCATAGCAAAACTGAACAAGTTTTTAGAATAAATCCAAAGCGAATGTTAAGCATTCCTACAGAAAGATAAGTACAAATGCATAACTGTAAACAAACTAGATTGAAATGTTAAGCTTTAAAGTTCTGGTAAAACCGACAAGAAGTACACATTGTATTTTACGAGAGATTTGCATAGTGTTTTCAAGCTCAAAGCCTACACGTATAAAACAAAGTACAACAACAACATTGGCCCAGTGCCTCAAAGGACCTCATGATGAGCGTCGAAAGTTGCATTGACTTACTGCTACTCACTCCCTCTGTTCCAGTGTATTTGTCCAGTTTGACTTTTTTCAAGTCAAAAAGGATGAACTTTGAGCTTCAATTAAACAAAATAGTAATATATATGTCCAAAAAATACTTTTATTAGATATATCTAGTTGGGAATTTTCAAAATTATATTTTATTGTACTAATACGTAATACAAATTGAGAGTAATTGAAGCTCATAGTTTGTCTGGTTTGACTTGAAAAAGGCAAATTGGACAAATACACTAAGAAGGAGGTAGTACTTCACTATTGAAAGAAAACGAAGCACAGACAGTTTAAAATGACATTTTGGTTTATTCCATCATACCTCAAAGCCAAAAATAGTGAACCTTTTGCTCAATCGGAGATGATGCCATGATGGAATTAAAAATCAATATAAAGGACATAGTATGAAATGAATTGTGTATTCCAACGTCTTTGTCGTTCTAAAAAAGCAGTACTAACGTAACCTTATTTCTTTGGTCAATATAGAACACTCAAATAATGAGACATGCATTGTTCACATTAAAGTCCCTTGAAATACATGAACTCCATTAAAATAACATTCAAGAGTTGAACTTCTCCCCGAGCTTGAGTGGTAGTAAGCCCCCTCCACAAGATTCATGGAGAAGCTCACCAGGTTTGAATCCCAACGGAGGCGGAGTTGGCTCTTTGTGCGTTATTAGGTTGAGAAAAGTATAACAAATACTACATTGTAATATAGTCAATAGTACTAAAAAAACTTTCAACTGTTATCAAAGTCCTAATTGGATTTCTCCCTTCCCCCCCCCCCCAAAATATATACTCATTCCACACTCCTCTCATTTACATAATCAGATTTAAGGTTTTAAGAACCACATTACAATGTGCAAATGGACGACTTCTAGTACTTAATTGTTAAATGACTATGAACTAGCTACAGAGAACGAACGAGATGAAACATTCTTAACACATGATGTAGAATGTCGGCAGAATTAAGCAACAAATCTGAGCGTTTACCTTCTCGCCAGAAATCAGTAGGGTTCAATTTCAGAAGACGGGATAATTCTTTGTTCAATAGATCCACCACTTGCTGTGACTCGACAGGATCCAATCCGCCCTTGTCAGCTCCTAGCCCAGTAGCAACCGCCTCATCCTGAGGCAAGTAATCAACAAAATTGCTACCGTGGCTGACACTAGAAACCCAATCTCCGCCCTCGGGAATACTAGGCTTGCCTGTAGATTCTCGGCTTCCACTACCACAGGCAGAGGTAGAGGCGGCGCCCAGCGGCTTCGTAGATCGCTGGTTATTAGAACCTGGTAAAGGTTGATTGGTTGAGACATCCTTATTCGTTATAACCTTCTGTTTGGACCTGCTGCTGCTGCCGCCGCCTTGGTACCTGCTGTATCGATTGGAAGACATGCTTTGCATATACAGACTTTTCTGTGTGCAACTGTGATGATTTAGCGCCAGATAGGCACCCCGGAGAGGTCGTGCGTATGCGGCGGCAGGGTTATATCGCACCCATGTCCGATGACCTACCTGCTTACGCCGTTCAAGCTTCTCCGTGAAACCAGACGATCGAAACACTTAGATTAATGAAAACCAGTAGCTAGGAGTGTTTTCCATAAATTATACTAGTATTCTGCGTCGAAAGAAATTTATGTTAATTCTAAATTAATTTGATGAAATTTATTTTTCAAAGTAAAGAAAATATATTGTTCACATGATTTTTAATATTATAAATGAAAAATGCCAAATTAAAATAAATAATATTTGAGGAACTGAATGTAGAGTTAACAAAGTTTATTTTAATATCAAGTTTTCTAAAAAACTTTAGAGTATACAACATTTTTGTTATGATTGCAAGGGTTTCCATTGTCATCAGAACCAATATCTTTAATCCTATCTTTGTTGTTGGGAAAAATATCATAGATTTTGATGATGATGTATTTAGAATGTAATAGGGACTTTAGGTCTCCCCCAATATTCAATGTAATTTTTCTTCTTAGAAATATTGTTAAAACCAAGTTCTTGAGATTTCCAATAAAGTTGTGATATTTCTTTAAGAGTTTTGATGCCTGAAGACCTAATCAAATTCAGTGATATGGAAATTGGATATCTTGATCGGAAATGCCAGAGACAAGTAAGGATTTCTCAAGCAGATGAAAATCCTCTGATCCGGAAGACTACATAAGAACCGGATGTCTCGCTACAACCCGCTGAAGGCTAAGTCATCCAAATCGGAAGACTAGCGCGGATCTCTTTCTCACCCGGAAGTCTAAGAATGACTCCTCCGGATTTGTCAGCTAAGAATCGGAAGACTCATTGAAGACCGGAATTCTCAAAAAGCGGACAAGTGAGAAAAGACTTAGAAAATTATCTAAGTCTTGAATGAAGAAATTCTACCCGTTGGTAAGGAAAAAATCAATCTCTTGATTTTCAACGGCTAGATTGAAGATAATTATGCTGATTCAAGAACAAATGACTCGAAGACAAAGTCTGAACCTCTAAGAATTGAAGAACCTGTCTAGAATTCCTAAACAAGCACTAGAAGACAAACAGAGTAAAAGTTCTACAGTCCAGAATACTTGAACAACAGCTAGAAGACGGACTCTATGGAAAAAGGAATCCTTCCTCAACAATTGGGTACGTTCAAACACCCACTTCAACAAGGAATCTTCAAATCACAATCTTCATTCAAAATTGAAGCCAGCAAATGCAACGGATAGTCTATTTTGATTCAACGGATAGATTATCCAATCCAGCTATAAATAGCATCCTTGGAAGACTGGAGAAAAAAAATGAGATACAACAACACAACGAAGCAATCTCTAACAACAAAGTTATCTCATTCACAGTTAGCCCAAAAAGCTTGATAAAGAGAGATTTCTAAACTCCTTATCGAGAAGCAAACTTCTCCCCCTTCCAAAGAGCTATAGTGTAAACACTTGAAGGTTTCCTTGCCTCAAGCACCACACCACGTTGAAGGATATTACTTTTGATCAAACTTATTGATTAAAAGGGGGTAGGTCAACTCTCTTACAAGTTGATCTTGCAAGTCCTATTGTTCGAACCTTGCAGTTGTTGAAGAAGCTTGACCTTCGAAGGAACAACAAAGCCAGCACGAGTGCAGTAGCAACATTGGTCTTGCGAAGATATACCGTGCAGAAATTCACACAAGTGTAATTGTTGGTTCATTATTCAACAACCAACTACATAGTGGATTTTGAGGACATAGAAGGATTACCCCACCTTCGAACCTCGTTAAAGTTTGCGTGTCTCTCTCTTTTATCTTTATTCTTACTTGCAATTATATTAACTGTGAAAACTAACCCATCCATATTGATTACTGCTCACTCTACCCACCAAATTCCGCACACAATCTAAAGTTCACAAGGACTCTAGATTAACACTCATTTTCACGTTTTCAAAAGAAACGAAAAAGATTTTAAATCTGTAACAAAGTCTATTCACCCNAAAAGGGGGTAGGTCAACTCTCTTACAAGTTGATCTTGCAAGTCCTATTGTTCGGACCTTGCAGTTGTTGAAGAAGCTTGACCTTCGAAGGAACAACAAAGCCAGCACGAGTGCAGTAGCAACATTGGTCTTGCGAAGATATACCGTGCAGAAATTCACACAAGTGTAATTGTTGGTTCATTATTCAACAACCAACTACATAGTGGATTTTGAGGACATAGAAGGATTACCCCACCTTCGAACCTCGTTAAAGTTTGCGTGTCTCTCTCTTTTATCTTTATTCTTACTTGCAATTATATTAACTGTGAAAACTAACCCATCCATATTGATTACTGCTCACTCTACCCACCAAATTCCGCACACAATCTAAAGTTCACAAGGACTCTAGATTAACACTCACTTTCACGTTTTCAAAAGAAACGAAAAAGATTTTAAATCTGTAACAAAGTCTATTCACCCCCCCCCTCTAGACTTTGTATTTCACCACTTTGGGACCACCATTTGTTTACACTCGTGAAACAACAACATAAAATTGACTATGTGTGAACACCGACTTAGTTAAAAATAAGCCCACAAATGACAATGTTTGACCTTGAATTTTGTTGATAGTCATAGCAAAACATAAGGCGATCGAGAATTGTTTTCTTTGGAACTTCAAGGGTAGTCCTGGATCAGATGGTAGTAAATTTACTTTAGGGATGTAAACCTTTTCCCTGACTCGATTTCCCTTTTCTTCCCTGGGAGATGGAAGTTCAATCTCAAAACGGCTGGCCACCTATGGTGAATATCAACATATCTACGTAAGTTCGTCATTGTTTTTTTTGACGATATATTGGTTTATAGTCCTGGTTTACCCGCACATGAGAGGCACTTGGAGGTTGTTTTGGGATTGCTGGGCACGAATGGCTTCTTTGTGAAGCTTTCCAAATGTGTTTTTTGCACTCACTCCATTGAATATTTGGGATACATAATTAAGCAGGACAACTAAAGGCTGACCCAACTAAAATCTCGGCCATGGTGGACTGGCCGTTGCCCAATACGCTGAAAAAGTTGCGTGGATTTTTCGGCTTAACACGATACTACCGCCGGTTCATCCATCATTATGCCCATATCGCTGCACCGCTCACCGACCTTTTGAAGAAGGACGCCTTTCACTGGAATGATGAGGCGACCGCGACTTTCTCTCAATTAAAGACGGCGCTCACAACGGCTCCAGTATTGCGTCTCCCGGACTTTTCGATGGTGTTTGTGGTTGATACGGATGCCTCTGCCACGAGAATTGGGGTTGTTTTATTACAACACGAGCAACCGGTGGCTTACTTTAGCAAAAAGCTTGGGCTGCGCCCTTAGCCGCTTCAACCTATCATAAGGAACTATACGCCATCGTTGAAGCCGTACACAAATGGAGGCAATATCTTCTCGGACGGGAATTTCTTATACGCACTGACCAAAGGAGTTTACGGGAGTTACTTTAACATGTTATTCAAACTCCGGATCAACAATTTTACGTTCGAAAATTGCTTGGGTTCCGCTTCAAAATTGAATACAAGCCGGGTCGAACAAACACCGTGGCCGATGCGTTGTCCAGGAAGAGGAGGGTTCGCCCGAGGCTGCAACATTATTCACTCTGTCCCATCCGATTTCGGACATACTGGAGCACATCTACAGCTCCACGAAGTGCAACGTAAGGGGGCCGTGCCGTCGCCATTCTCTGTCCACGATGGTTTGTTATATTACAACCATCGGTTATGCATTGGGGCCGCCTCCTCTCTCCGCCAGACCTTGCTCAAGGAATATTACGATTCCCCAATCACCGGCCACGCCGGGGTTCATCGGACATTTCAACGACTAGCCACTTCTTTTTATTGGCGCCGAATGCGGGCTGAGGTCAGGGCATATATCGCAGCGTGCTTGACATGCAAAACCATGAAATCTTCCAATCAAGCTCTGGCAGGGCTGCTGCAACCCTTGCCCATTCCGAATCAAATATGGGAAGATGTGAGTATGGATTTCATTACGGGTCTCCCGGTTTCCCGCGGGTCGTCCGTCATCCTAGTGGTTGTTGATCGGTTGACGAAGTATGCACATTTTGGGCTGCTACCTGGAGATTTTGATGCCCACCGGACTGCTTTCCTTTTTATTGACATGGTCGTCAAATTACATGGATTCCCGAAGACCATTATCTCGGATCGCGATAAGATCTTCACGAGAACTTTTTGGCGGGAGTTACACAAGTTGAGTGGCACAACCTTGAAGCACAACACCGCGTTCCACCCGGAGACCGCTGGCCAGGCGGAGGTCATGAATCGAACTTTGGAGCAATACTTACGGGCTTACACACATGCACAACCCAAACGGTGGACCATCTTATTGCCATGGGCCGAATATTCCATTAATACGAGCTATCATACGGGGATACGGATGTCGCCCTTCGAGGCGGTCTATGGTCGGCTTCCCCCACCCTTGGTGGCCGTGTATCATAGTAAGGTTCAAGTCATGGATGATCTTCTCTTCGAGCGGGATGAACTATTGCGGACTTTGAAGGAGAATTTGAGAGCGGCACAAAAGCCCATGAAACAAGTGGCCGACGGCCATCGGCGGGAGGTCGTGTATAATGTTGGGGATTGGGTGTTCCTTCGTCTTCAACCTTATCGCCAACATTCCGTCGCCCGACGTCCTTCACAGAAGTTGTCCCTACGTTTTTATGGGCCTTATCAGATAACGGAGCGCATTGGGCAGGTGGCATATCGTTTGAAGTTACCAGACTCGTCCTGGATCCACCCCGTGTTTCATGTTTCAGCTTTGAAGCCATTTCGGGGGGACAACTCGACCACTCCAGGGCTGCCCTTACCCGCTGATTTGGTGGATGGCAGGCTCCCATCGGTACCCATACATGCCCATGCATCACGGCGCGTATTGCGTCACGGTACGGCGGAAGAACAATGGCTAGTCTCGTGGAGTGACGGATCTTTAATTTGGATGATGCTACTTGGGAGCCGGCAGAGGTGATGCGTGAGCATTTTCCTCACTTGCACCTTGAGGACAAGGTGCTGTCCGAATGGGGGGGAGAGTGTTACGGAACTTCTGGGTACCCATGCACGTG